GTGTGATGTAAAGGAAATCTAATAATTTACTACTAATTTGTAATTTTACTAATGAGTATATCTACATTAATTAATTATCTCACATGCTCGAGAAACAGATATAGTCTTTAACCAAATAAATTTCTTACTAAACTTACTACACAAGTCCTGGTCTTACTTCAGTTCTTGCTAATAAAAGATATTAGAGAAGGTGTCCTATTTGAGTTGGACTAATTTTTCTAATTGCAAAAGAAAAAGTAAAAAAGAAAACAAAGCACTTTGCAAGTGGGTGCATATAGTTATTTGCACATAAATATGAATATGCATTGTATACATAGGTTCTCTTATCTCTATCAAATTACCCTAAATGGGTTCATAAAGATGGAGTTCAAAGACCACACATCACATGCTACTCTCCCTCTTCTTTTGGCATAACCTTACTCCATTTATGCATTGTGCTCCTCAATTATTTAACATATATTAGAAAAACTTTAAAAATAAAAAAATCTTAAAAAATCTACACATTTTTTCCCTCTTCCACATAAACTATATTTTCTTTGGTAAAACAAGAAAGATTATTAATCCATCTACGGAAACTATATGGACATTTTGACATTGTTCAACAACAACAAGATTTCTTCCAAATTTATATATTGGGTTATTACACATGTATAAATTGTTAGTCATCTATCAATAAATTATATAAACAAACAACTGTTTGACAAAAAAAAAAAAAACTAGATTTTGACTATATATAGAAATTTGAGTATACGATTTTTTTTTGTTAACCAAGAGAATCTCATATCGAAACTCATACTAATCCTCCAAAGTCAATAGAAATTCGGATTTCATGCTACTAACGGTAGCCATAAGATGAGTACAAAATATCTATGTTTTGGTTTTTATCTAACAAAACATTTTCTTTTGAACAAACCGATAGGTTAGATTAAATTTTGGAAAGATTGATAATAAGAAGAAAACTAACATGTTCTTACCTCCGGTTCAACAAATTATGGGTCGATCTAAACTTTGGAGTTTCTTACTAACATAGAAACTTTGGAGATATGAAAATTTTTGGAGAGGAAAAAAGTCAAAAGAGAAATTGTAAAGAGAGAGAGATTAAAGTAGTTGGAGATGAGAGAAAAGTCTGGTTACCTTCTAATTGAGTCAGAAGCATTACACTTAAATAACTTTCCAAATTAAGCCCTACGTCTTGTCCAGCCCCATCAAAGTACGGTTCATCTCCCTACATCCCCTATAAACCCTAAAACCTTATTTATCTAAATTGATTTTTTTTTTCTTTTACATATGTCAATATCACAAGTAAACATCATCAACTCCAAATCTCACTAACACATAAGTAGTATGTTAATTTTCACTACAATCTAAGTAATTTTCTCTCCCTTTTTTTTTCTTTAGAAAATTAACAAAACTACCACTTATTTTAAAATTTCTTTTCCAATCTACCACAATCTCAAAATCCTTTTAAAATCTATCCTATTTTTTTTCTTCTCAACACCAAAAGACATTTTTATCCTTATATATATTTTTTTTTCACTCATGACA